GACGATATGAATGACAAGCTCGTGGAAACTGTCCATGCGGTCGGAGCTAAGACTGCAATATAATTCTGCAAGACCCGCCACAGAAGAACACAAAAACTCTCCGATCTCACTCTTAATCTCATGGCCGTTAGATGGGAGATGACGCTGCAATCTTTAACAGATTTGACAGCATACAGGCAACTGAACGGACAGATCTCCAAATGTATGCGGCGAGACTTACGCAACTTAAATACTGCTCGTATTAAAAAGCGATCGAGCGGAACCAGGGCTCCAAAGTCTTTGACAGAGATCTGTCTGCCAGAAAGAGCCAACATTCAAAGCTGAAGACTGAGTGTGGCAGCATCGTTTCCGAGACACCTGAGATTTTGAGTGAGATTGAGAGGTTTTATGGGCAACTGTACACATCATCATTGGAGCCACACGCAAGTGTGAGTAACGATCCAAGAGCAAGTCTTATCCGACACTATTCCGATGATATACCGGACGTCAGTCTGAGCGAGAGTAGAATGGCTCTCCAGCACCTTAAAAACGGCAGGGCCCCAGGCGAGGATGGAATTACAGCGGAGCTTCTGAAAGCGGGTGGAAAACCGGTACCGGTAAACCATCCTCCATGGTGGCACTACTCCGGAGGCGTGGAACAGAAGTGCGGTGGTCTTGTTCTTTAAGAAAGGCGACAACGCTCTCTTGAAGACCGATTACAGACCGATTTCGCTTCTGAGTCGCGTCTACGTGCTGTTTTCGAGAGTCATTACAAAACGTCTCGCACACACACTCGACGACTTCCAGCCTTCCGAACAAGTCGGTTTCCGAAAAGGCTTCAGTACCATAGACCACATACATACCCTGCGGCAGATTGTACATAAGACCGTAGAGTACAATCTGCCACTTTGCTTGGCGTATGTGGACTATGAGAAAGCCTTTGATTCCGCCGAAATTTGGGCGGTGCTACAGTCCCTTCAGCGGTGCCAAGTTGACTGTCGGTATATCGATGTGCTGAAGTGCTTGTACAGTAGGGCTACGATGGCTATCCGAGTACAGAACCAGAGTTTGAAACCTATCCAACTACAGAGAGGTGTAAGACAGGGTGACGTTATATCCCCGAAACTCTTCACCGCTGCATTGGAAGACGTTTTCAAGCTACTGGACTGGAAAGGACACGGTATTAACATCAATGGCGAGTACATCACTCACCTTCGATTTGCCGACGATATAGTCCTTATGGCAGAATCGCTGGGGGACCTAAGCACTATGCTCAATGGTGTCTCCCAACGGATTGGTTTTATGATGAACATGGACAAAACAAAGATCATGTAACATGGACAAAACAAAGATCATGTTTAATGTCCATGTCACACCTATGCCGGTAGTTGTTGGGAGCACTATGCTCGAAGTTGTTGACGAGTACGTTTACCTGGGAGAAATAGTCCTAGGTAAGTCCAACTTCCACCGAGAGGTTCGATGGATTCAACTCGACGGGAAATTACGACACATCTTCTCGTCAGGTATACCTCAAACTCTGAAAAGTAGATTATACGACCAGTGCGTGTTGCCAGTGATGACTTACGGATCTGAGACGTGGTCCTTCACTGCTAGCTGTATGAGGACGCTCAAGGTCGCTCAGCAAGCTGGCTATGCTCGGAGATTCTCTGCGTGATAGACTCAGAAATGAGCATATCCGTAGTAAAACCAGAGTGACCGACATAGCCCAGCGGATTAGTAAGCTGAAGTGGCAATGGGCCATATAGCTTGAAGAACCGATAACCGATGGGGAAGAAAGGTTCTCTAGTGGCAGCCTCGTACCGGTGGGCGTAGTATAGGGCGACCCCCCACTAGATGGAGTGACAACCTGGTAAGACATGCAGGAAGTCGATTGATGCAGTTGGCTCAGGACCGTGCTTTGTGGCATTACTTGGGGGAGGGCTATGTTCAGCAGTGGACTTGTGAAGGGCTGTGATGATGATGATGATGATGATGATTGTACCTTGTTACACAATATTTATTTTAAATTATTAATTTATAAAAATCTCACCCTTCCCCTTAGAACCAAATGACAACAATCGCAAGTGTATAAATTATTTTCAAACACTTCTTTACGCCGAATCCTTGCATCATTCGTCAAATTCATGTTCAAGTTCATGAAGACACGCACAGTATATGCTTACACACGATTATAATACTTTTTACAACCAAAGAGATTGCACGGTAATTCACTCGTCACCAGTCATCAAAAACGATTTGTAAGTATATCTTTTATTACACCATAATAATATACTGAAAATTTAGTTCAGACAATTGTAATTAATAGAATCGATATAGCCATTCAATTAACTCACTGCATAACTCCTGACGGTACGTTTACGAGAGCAATTTAACTGCAATTAAACGTTATGTGTGGAAAGCGCGTAGCTGACCGAAATCAATTAAAACTGTTATTTTGGCAGGTAACGGAATAGGTAGTTATTTATTTTGTAGTAACGCTATGCAAATCCGGAGGTTTGGGTCTAAAATTAGCAAATAGGTAAGGCTTAAATTTAATGATTTCCCAGAAAAAGAATTAGTACTTCTTAAGATAACACTTTAACTGTCAGATATTTCTTTTCACATCATAAAGAACAAAGTCATCATCATCATCATCATCATCATCATCACAGCCCTTCACAAGTCCACTGCTGAACATAGGCCTCCCCCAAGTAACGCCACAAAGCACGATCCTGAGCCATCTGCATCCATCGACTTCCTGCATGTCTTACCAGGTCGTCACTCCATCTAGTGGGGGTTGCCCTACACTACGCCTACCGGTACGAGGCTGCTCGAGAACCTTTCTTCCCCATCGGTTATCGGTTCTTCGAGCTATATGGCCGGCCCATTGCCACTTCAGCTTACTAATCCGTTGGGCTATGTCGGTCAATCTGGTTTTACTGCGGATATCCTCATTTCTGAGTCTATCACGCAGAGAAACTCCGAGCATAGCCCTCTCCATAACTCGCTGAGCGACCTTGAGCGTCCTCATACGGCCAGCAGTGAAGGACCACGTCTCTGATCCGTAAGTCATCACTGGCAACACGCACTGGTTGTACACTTTAGTTTTCAGAGATTGAGGTATACCTGACGAGAAGATGTGTCGTAATTTCCCGAACGCTGCCCAGCCGAGTTGAATCCGTCGATTGACCTCTCGGTCGAAGTTGGACTTACCTAGTCGGACTATTTGTCCCAGGTAAACGTACTCGTCAACAACTTCGAGAATAGTGCTCCCAACAAATACCGGCATAGGTGTGACATGGACATTAAACATGATCTTTGTTTTGTCCATGTTCATCTTAAGACCTATCCGTCGGGAGGCACTATTAAGGTCGTTGAGTATAGTGCTTAAGTCTCCAACTCCAGCGATTCTGCTATGAAGACTATATCGTCGGCAAATCGAAGGTGAGTGATGTACTCGCCATTGATGTTAATACCGTATCCTTTCCAGTCCAGTAGCTTGAAAACGTCTTCCAAAGCAGCGGTGAAGAGTTTCGGGGATATAACGTCACCCTGTCTTACACCTCTCTGCAGTTGGATAGGTTTCGAGCTCTGGTTCTGTACTCGGATAGCCATCGTAGCCTTACTGTACAAACACTTCAGCACTTCGATATACCGACAGTCAACTTGGCACCGCTGAAGGGACTGCAGCACCGCCCAAATTTCGACGGAATCAAAGGCTTTCTCATAGTCCACATACCCCAGGCAAAGTGGCAAATTGTATTCTTCAGTCTTCTGTACAATCTGCCGCATGGTATGTATGTGGTCTATGGTACTGAAGCCTTTTCGGAAACCGGCTTGTTCGGGAGGCTGGAAGTCGTCGAGTCTGCGTGCGAGACGATTCGTAATGACTCTCGAAAACAGCACGTAGACGCGGCTCAGAAGGGAAATCGGTCTGTAGTTCTTCAAGAGAGCGTTGTCGCCTTTCTTAAAGAACAAGACCACCGCACTTCTGCTCCACGCCTCTGGAGTAGTGCCACCATGGAGGACGGAATTGAAGAGCTTCTGAAGGACTTCAAGTACCGGTGTTCCACCCGCTTTCAGAAGCTCCGCTGTAATTCCATCCTCGCCTGGGGCCCTGCCGTTTTTAAGGTGCTGGAGAGCCATTCTAATCTCGCTTAGACTGACGTCCGGGATATCATCGGAATAGTGTCGGATAAGACTTGCTCTTGGATCGTTACTCACACTTGCGTGTGGCTCCAACGATGATGTGTACAGCTGCCCATAGAACCTCTCAATCTCACTCAAAATCTCAGGTGTCCCGGAAACGATGCTGCCACACTCAGTCTTCAGCCTTGACAGTTGGCTCTTTCTGGCAGACAGATCTCTGGCAAAGACTTTGGAGCCCTGGTTCCGTTCATAAAGAACAAAGTCATAAAGAAATATTTCTCACATTACGATAATAACCGGGCGCAATGCCGGCCGACACCAATGAAATTGTTACTTGCAATTTTAAGTGCAGATTTATCACATGCTCGGCGGTGAAGGAAAACATCGTGAAGAAACCAGCATCTCGGAAAATAAAAAAAATATTTCGAAGTCACTTAAGGTCCTAGTCCTAGACATTTGAAGTTCCTTGCCCAAAAACCCTCTTAGAAATGAAGGAAGGCCTGTGCCTGTGCCTTTACCTCACTTTAATTTTTTTCTTTCGTTGGTTATGGACATAGAATACTATAATACACAATAGAATGGCTGTCAACCTTATTTTGTACGAGGAGAGGCGTCGCCGGGAGTACACATACAAGAAATTACGTCGTATTATCTCTACTACAAACCCGAATCGCTAAGTTGACAGACAGATTTTAATACATATTTATTTGAAATTTATACGTGTTAATTGACGTGTTAGTGACATTTTAGTGGCTACACGGGCTCCGCCCACTCCCCCGTTCTATTATGTATGTAATAATAGTATTCTATGGTTATGGATAATTAATTCATTACCATTGAATAAAAAAATGTTATGGTTAAAAAAGTCTTACCACTTTCCCGCCACCCATAGTGACCAATGGATTAATGAAATTAAATGGCGGCAGTTGGAGTCTCCTATTAACTTCTTGCTCGAATGCTGGATACGACGGTGAAGGCGATGGAGCGACGGCGAGGTACGAGCGAAATGCATGGAGTGTTCTCGGTATTGGTTCTTTGCGTAACGGCCCAGATAGGTAACGGATCGCCTCCTCAGATTCGTATTTGTCGACATCCACTCCAATAGCTGCATACTCTCCTGTTGAAGTTCTACTTTGTAGCAATATGCAAGCTTAATTATTTATGCGAAAACTATGGATTATGACAAAAATCTTTGATTTTGTTTTAGAACTAATGCAAATAAAGTTAGATCCAGAATTTATATGGCCATTTGAGGTCATAAAGGTTTTTGAAGGTGACCATTATAACCTTAAAACCCTTAACTCTAACCGTACTTACAAATAGGCACACGATAGGTTGCGAAAAATGCCGGAAAATCGAAGTATAACTGACGAAATCGAAGTAGAGCAAATTAGTTCTGACATTGAAGAGATTAAATACTCTAGTTTACATGATGATTGAACCGTACCAGAGGTTGTCGTGTAGCCGTACGTCAGTGGAAACGAGCTCACAGTCCACCTGCTGGTTGGTGGCCACTGTAATCCACGGAAAATTGCAGCTAACTTCAAACAAGGAAGATTACCGATAGTTATCTCTGAGGACTGCTGGAATGCCGCACAGCCTGTTGTTGTAGCTGCTCTTGCAGTCTTTGACTGGCGCTATACCCTCAAACTGGAACACAGCAGTGTAATCACTATTAAAAGGCAGTAGAAATAGCTACACTTCTATGACTTCTATGACTTATATACAAAATGTACCTACCTACTTAGGTGGACTTCTATGCTGGAAAGGAGTCAAACTATGTAAAATTTAAATGTGCAAGCAATAGTGTACATTAAGCTAGCATGTTACTAGAATTCTTAGAAAATAAAAACAAAATACAATATCATACATTCCATGGTGAAATACTTCCGTAGTTTTGTAATATATTTAAGTGGCTCTACACATGTATGCCATTTTCATTACATACAAAACATGTATTCATTTATGGGTGAGTCGTAGGTTTGAAGGGAAGAATATATTAAATGAAATAAATTAAGTGCTATAATATGGCGTGTTTTGTGTTTGGTCCGTTGGTTGGTCCCCCGGAATCCTTCTTCACTGTTGTGGACATACCTGTCTGCTTGACCAGTATAAAAGAAACCGGTTTCTGCAAGATCTTCAGGCTTTTCAGATCTTGTCACATAACGGGAGGCCAATCTTCGAACATGAGCACAACTGGCTAGATTTTGAAATGAAGAATGAATATTCAGCTCTTGAGTACTGCATATTCTTCTCTTTTCTTTTCCACTCAGCATTGTAGTTTTGCTATTCAATGACTTGTTCTGTACACGTATGCCACACTCGTCTATTGCTTCTGGTCTTGTCTTCCTTTAGTTTTGAAAACACCATTTCTTTATATGTAAATTTTTTAACGCACAGATTTTCTTATGAGTAAAACAGTTATACAGTAAAGTATATTTACAATAAAGTGGACAAAGAGTACTTAAATTGTGAGCTCCTAAGCAACTTATATCTATAATAGTATAATTTTCATCACAAATATCTTGGACCTATTTAATTTTTTCACATACTTTTAAAAAACCTTTTATTTTTAAAATATGTCTTGATAATTCTGTGAAACTCTCTATAGTCAATATAGCCCTCACTCCGTCGATACCCTTTGTGCTTTTCAATACAGCCAATTTGATTTTTCTCTTCAAGAGATAGTGAAGTCTAATTAGGAATATTTTGGTGTACTCTAGAGTGGCTATAGTAAATTCTTTTACTATAAATTCATTTTTGCTATCTTTAAATCCTTGAAGATTTACGGTTAATGTAATGCTATTCATGATATTTTCTTAACGATATAACACGTTGATATATATATATATATATATATATATATATATATATATATATATATATATATATATATATATATATATTGGTCTGTTTCGATTGATATTGATTAATATTCATATTATTGAACTCTCATATCGATCTAACGTTTTAATCAAACGACCATACACTGACTCCATGACTGCATCAGCTCGGTGTTATATAGCACCAAAAAGTAATATCTAATCTAAAGCATTTCCGCAGTGAAACTGATAGTACTTATGTAATGAAAATAGCATACATATGTAAAGTCACTTAAATACATAGTCTGTCAAAACTGGAAAAAAAGGAACACACTGCACAATGATATTTTAGTGGATGAGATGTTTCGCTCCTATTTTATAGATAATAAGCAATAAAAATTTATATAAATAGAAATAAAAATTATAACAAAATTAAGGAATATGTTTTATTGGTGATTCAGAATAGCGTGTTAGTTACGAAAAAAGAAGTATAATACAACAGCACTAGCAGAGTAACAAGTAATAGATAAGAGCGCAATGACGGTGTTCAAGGAACAATAGATAAGAAGAAAGGTTGAACAATGGAAACGCTAATCAGAGTGCAGGCCTACCGGATATCAATTAAATATTAGTTAAATGATCAGCACATCTCCAGAACCGAACATACTACGCAAAAAAGGACCGCAGATTCGTGATCAGACCATGCCAAAACCGTTTGTTTCCTTTTTTTTTTAGGGTCCGCCGACCCACCGTCAACCGTTGTGGGCTGGTTTGTACCAGTTCAGTGAGACCAGAACTGGTACAAACAAAAAATTTAAGGTAAGAATATATGAAATGAAATGAATTAAGTTCTTTAATTTAATATGATATGACAGTATTTATTTATTTGTTCCATATTGTAAGCACCTTAATCTACGGGAACAATGGGCGGAGATAATATGTGGATATATGGCAGGTATATTGTAGCATCTCCTCCAAGTTAATCCTGGTCGATTTGAAAACAAACGACAGATGCTAACAGTTACTAAGGCACAATTAACTAACAAGATAAAAGGTAATAATAATATATAAGATGATAAAACATTAAAAAAAAAGTATAAATGAAACATTTTTATCTATATTATACCGCCGTGTAGTGGTAGTGTAAGAGAATCCACTACTCTTACTACGATATTATCTCGTGGGTTTCGAAAGTGGTTACAAAGAAAAAACGTAACTGGTAGTGGGCAGAAGCATGATGTTGATGATGTTATAAATAATAAAACTATTTGCATATACAACATTACAGTACATATACAATATTAGATAGATAGATAGAAAATTCATTATTGCACTCAAACAAAACAATTTGGTACAAAGGCGAACTTAATGCCGAAAAAGGCATTCTCTGCCAGCTAACCTTTTGTAGTGTGATGAGAGCTATGTAGGGTAGAGCGGCGAGAGAAAAAAGAAAGTAAAACTAACTTATTTATTCATACTATTCAAAACGCATTATATAATATTATGTATATGTTAGTTTATACATATATACACTTATACACATACATACATATATATATATATATATATATATATATATATATATATATATATATATATATATATATTTAAACAAAATATATACTAAACAATAAGCATACAATATAGTATACGAAATTATAATAAACATAATCAATAAAGTTAATCAAGTAATTTTAAATAATATGCCTCAAGCTTACGTTTAAATGTATTTATTGAAGGAGCATCTTTTAAATCTCGTGGAAGGTTATTCCAAAGTGTAATTGATGATACCGTGAAGGAATCCGAGTAGTATGCAGATTTATGCACCGGGATTATTTGATAGTTAGAGTTTTGTTGGTCATCGAACGGGACAAGCTTAAATATGAAAAACGCTCTTTTAGATAAACTGGGGAACAAGGATTGTGAAGAATACCATACAAAGTGGTTAGAAGGTGTGTGTTCCGGCGAAAACGGATATCGAGCCACTTAAGTCTTGAGCGAAGTTGTGATATATAATCAAACTTGCGCAGGCCAAAAATATAGCGTATGCACAGATTGAGCAGACGGTCGAGTTTGCTAAGCAGCTCCTCAGTTATATCTGGATAGGCAATATCGGCATAATCAAAAATAGAAAGCAACAGAGAGTTGACTAGCGTAACCTTGGCCGTCTGAGGAATAAATTTTTGCCAGAGCTTTAATGAATGCATACTTCCAAAAATACGTCTCCTGACCTCATTAACCTGTACCACCCAACTTAGATCGTCAGCCAAAATTATACCAAGGTTCTTAACCTGCCTAACATATTCTAAATCTACACCGTTTAGAGTGACCTTAGGTAGATATTGATAGTCAAGTCGACATGTAATTTTTCTGCTCCCTATGATTATAACCTGTGTTTTGGCAGGATTTAATATTAGCTCATGACATCTTGCCCACTGATGAACTGCAGCAAGATCAGAATTCATTCTGTCAGCAGATGAATTTAGGTCATTTAAACTAAAATGCTGATACAGCTGGACATCATCTGCGTACAGGTGATACTTGCTGAAATTTATTACGGAAACAAGTGCATTGATAAACACAGAAAAAAGCAACGGAGATAAAACACCGCCTTGAGGAACACCAGCAACAATGTTACACCAATCGGAGAACTTATCATCAACACGTATGCGTTGTAGCGTCCCCGAAGATAGGAACTGAACCATTGTAGAACTGACGATATTAAATTCAGGGATTTCAAAATTGCTAACAGGATGTCATAGTCAACACAGTTAAAGGCGTTACTGAAGTCCAGAAGAACAAGAAGAGTGAGTTGACGATTATCCATCGCGAAGCGGATATCATCAGTTATTTTAATTAAGGCCGTGGAAGTACTGTGCAGAGATCGGAAACCAGACTGATAGGGATTAAAGAGGTTGTGTTTGTTTAGAAATTTTTTTAGAAAATTTAGAATATTACAATACATATACAATATTACGTACATAAAACATCAATATGAGAAAAAAGACATATTCCGAAGTTAAAAGTATTCGGATTTTTGTTGTACAATCTTACTAATCCAAGGCCTAAGGTAAAATTTTGGGTTAACATCACGTTGAGTTTGTTTATAAACGGATTAAAGCTTTACAGTTCTGTCTGATTACGAGTTGAATTTGTACTTGTATGTGTGTTCACTCCAATAATAACACAAAGCACTATGTATGTGTGTGATCTTGTGCATTTTTAAGCAAAGTGAGTGTCCAATTGTAAATCTAAAATTATATTTTTTTATAGAATAAGTATGACAAACGAACACACAGTTTACCTGATGATAATGTTATGTCGTTATTTATTTTTTGGTTTTTTTCTCTTTTTTATTTTTTTAATATAAAAAAAAAAAATTCATCACTAGGGGTTTTTTAAAAAAAAAATGTAATTTTTTTTTGGTTTTGTTGCGTGCTTTCATCTTTGGTATTTTGTAATGTGATCCACCTGCCTTTTTATAATGCGCGAAAGAAAGTATCCTTGAATACTGCATTCCTATTACGTACGTATATAAATGAATTCGTTGTTTTGTCCTTTCCTGTAGGTTCCGCGATGAGTTTCACTCCCAATTCTCTCCGGACTTTTTACAGCGTATGTAAACATAAATCTATTAATAACTCTACCACACCATCATCTATTGAGTTCAAACTTTATAATTTGGCACTAATTTTAGTCTATAAATATAGAATTTGTTACAATTTAATAAGAAATATAAACTATCGGATTCCGGTCACTGAGCCGGTCCCGTGCCTGAAATTACAAAGACGGGCCCCGACTGAGCAATTACCGTTGCGCCGTGATGCAGTATACTCGTCCGAGCAAAAATAGTGTTATAACTATACAACTATCTACAACTATCGACAACTAACTCCAGATCGTCAAACTTCAACATAATTGTAGTCTAGTTATAACACTATTTTTGCTCGGACGAGTATACTGCATCACGGCGCAACAGGTAATTGCTCGGTCGAGACCCGACTTCGTGTCTAGCGTGAGTCAACTTACAGGAAAATAAATAATTATGTTGTATGAATCAAATCGTTCAGAAGCTTTACGATCATTAACAGACGCTTCAACGATAAAGATTAATTTAATTTGTTTGTTCGTTAATATTGTTTAATTACAACATCAAATGTAGAAAAAAAAGCAAAATTATTTGATGATATTAATAATGCCGTGAAGTTTTATGATGATTTTTATATGTTCAAAAAATGCTTATATGAACCATTTACACAATTCATAGGTTATCTTGGTTCTGTAGGTATGCTTCTTCCCATTCATTACATCTCTCATTCATTACAACAGACTGGAAAGCTTAATGTTGTAATGAATTGTTACGCAAATAAAGGCGAGAAAATCGAGATAAATACGCATTATATACTATTATGTCGGCACTCTAGAATATTTTACTCGAAGCTATTTCTTCTAATCTAAACTTTAACTTTTAACATAAAATTGTCGACTTAGTTCCCAGAGTTTAAAGATAATTCAGATTTTATCGTCCAGAAATTCAATTAAAATAAATAAATATCCACTGCTATACAGCAGTGGACATTAATGAATGTAATTCATTGTAAATTTAGTCTAATCATTCGATTATAGTAGAAAAATAGTTTCAATTTACAGAAACTCTTAAATATTTAAAAATTCTTGAAATAATTCACTCTGAATGTTTTTAAGCCATTTTATTTACAAAAACATTAAAGCAGTAGTTAATGATATCTTCTGTGTTAATATGATACTATGATAGAATATATTATACAAATTCGATTAGCATAAAAAATTAGTGTAAAAATAGCGATAAGCGCTTTTAAAGAAATCAAACTATTACCGTATAAATATATCGTACCGTAGATGTCGTAATAAATTATTTTGAGACTTCATAGAAAATATTAGGATCTCCGATCGATGGCGGTATAACTATCTCTTTTACGCCAGGCGTAAAATAGCCAGACCGGTGACGGGGAGTTATATCAAAGATTTGTCACGTTTGGCACTGCGATCGTCCATTCATCTGTTGTAAGCTTTGGTTGTAAAGCGTAACAATTTACACAAATACCGTCTTCCTCGTGACTAATTAACGAACGGGGCTTTAAGATCAGATAACATTAGTCCATTCCAAAACTCTATTTTATCCATCAGACTCGCGATAAAAAGCAGCATATCATTATTACAAGTCTGTTTATTGATTATGCGCTCGCAAATCCGTCTGCCTAACGTGTGGTTTGCAAAATTTAAAGAAAGAAGAAGGATAATGATTTTTTTATATTTAACCGAATACTATATCTCTCCTAACCGCTTTCGGCTACAGCGACCCTTTTTTGACTCCTATTTATAAGTTTTATTGCTCCGCCCGTTCATGCGCTCTTAGTAAGAAAAGTGTGAGAATACTTAGAGCAAGTGACAACACCATTGCAGTAGTTATATTGTACAGTTGCAAGTGGGTTTAAGTTCCTCTCGTTTAGAATTTAGATCTTGTACGCGTTTGGCTTCAAAGGTGTTGATGTTTTGTCTCACAAGTTGCTTCTATTTTTGCCGGTCTTTAGTTAGGTACTTCCAAGAAGAGGGTTCGATGTTGCATTTTTTCATGTGCCTCTTTAATTCATCCTTATATCTTAGGAGCTGCCCTCCTTGTTTGCGCTTACCTTCATAAAGCTCAGAGTACATGACGCGTTTTGCCACTCTGTTGTCAGCCATCCTAAACACATGACCACTCCAATGCTCGGCGTAGGACTTCCGTATTTCTGACACGGTCGGACCAACGTATACCCATGATATTACGGATACATTGAATATGGACTCTATCGAGAATTCGTATGTGCCTCCCATACAAACACCAAGACTCAGAGGAATATAAAAGGTTTGGCAGAACAACCGCCCTATAGACTGCTATCTTAGTGGGTAACCTAATATCATGTAAACGGAAAACTTTGGATCTCAATTTTTCGAAAACAGCTGATGCAGTACCCATTCTTCCATTAATTTCAGTTGCAAGGTGACATTTAAATGTTATTACGCTCACCAAGTACTTAAACTTTTCTACAGAACTCAGAACGCCTTAATTAAGCTGGATCCGTAAAGGCCAGCCCGTAGCCATCACTTCGGTCTTTGTGACACTGATTTTGAGGCCAAATTTACGACATAACTCATCAAGACTAGTCATCAATCTTTGGAGAAAATTCGGGGAATCTGTCACAAAGCACAAGTCATCCGCGTACATAATTTCAGTTATTACGTCGCAAGTCACCTTAGACTTTTCCCGCAGTCTATTTAAACTAAAAGATCTTGCGGAAACTATTAAGAGTGTCTATAGCTTCCCTGACCACTACAGCGAAATAGAGAGCAAACAACTTTGGCGCTGATGAAATACTACACATGGAATAAAACTACTTTTACGGATTAACTTATGTACCTACATAGATACCTTCAACTTTTAATTATTAATGCTTGGTTCGATTTAGTAATTAAATTATTACGTATATAATATATACCTTCAGCTTTTAATTATTAAAAAGTTGAAGGTAGCCTCCGTTAACTATGACATCAGGACGTCAAACACCTCTTGATCTTGCTATAAAGTGCCCGAAACGTCGGGGATTAAAAAAGTTAAATTAAATGCTTATCGCGTTAATCCGTAAAATTAGTTTAATTCCATGAAAAAAAACAGGGTGTATACAGTAGTAGATTGATTACGGATGTAAAGGAAAAAAGAAGAAGCAGGGTACATTTTAAACAGGATTCGTTAAAAATATCATCTTGTTTTGAATCCGAAGTATGTGGAAAACAGTTCCTTTAAGTGATTTTTATATTTTATTGAATAATGATGAAAATATTGAATATTTTGAAGACACAAAAAATTTATTCATTATTATCCGTTACAACCGATAAAAGTCCATTAAGGGCAGTAGGCCTGTCCTATAGATTACGTCATGGAGGAGATTTTGCCATAGTTACCACTCTTGGGATGTAGGTGAGCCTATCACCTGGTTCAGTTTCTCTTTGTCACCTCTAACGACACCCTAGGGACGATGTGGGGTAAATTTTACACCGCCACTACACGGTTAAAAAATTAACTATTGCACAAAAACTCATCTCACCTGAATCCAAAAGTTTTAAGGAATCCAAAGCCAGCATAAGTCCAATGTGGTCATGGTAATATCCAACTGACACGTAAACTGAAAATATAATATTATATTAATAAAATGCAATATTTAATTATGATTATTTTTTTTAAATATATAAGAGAGGGCAAACGAGTATGCGGCTCACCTAATGGTAAGTGACTACCGCCGCCCATGATCAACTGCAGTACCAGGGGAATTGCAGATGCGTTGCTGGCCTTTAAATAAGAGTAGGCTCTTTTCTTGAAGGTCCCTAATTTGTATCGGTCCGGAAAAATCGCTGGTGGTAATCGATTCCACAAGGAAGTTGTGCGAGGCAGAAACTCCAAGTAAATCACACAGTGGTGAACCGTTAATCATCCTGATGGTATGGTTGATGGTATCGCGAGCTTTGTCGCAATGTGTGATGGTGAAATCGAGCGGCAAGCGAAAGAGATGCAACACACCTTCACAGCACCAGTGAGTCAAACCGATGAGAAAGAGCTCAGTTGCCGACGATTTGAACCGCTCTCAGCTGGATGTGATCAACTGGAAGTAGCTGGCATTGGGGTGCCCTGGCCCAGAGCCGAGAACAGTATTCCATGTGAGTAAGTTGCAAGCGGTGTGGCGAGCATGAAATACTATACATGAATATTAATTACAATTCCCTTTTTTTTAAAATTTTTTTTTTTTTAATAAAAATACAAAAAAGAAAAGAACTTGAAAAAAAAAATTAAAAAAGTCGGTCGGTCGGCCTGGGCTCGAACCATGGTATTACGATTTTGTGACCGCTCAATATACAAATTAAGCTATTTGTAATCATTATAATGTCAATTTACCTTCTTATTCTACCGATATTGTAACAGTTTTTCATTGCCTAAAAACACGGACAAAAAAGACATTTTCTAAAAATAAATCCTAGCTAGATCGATTTATTGCCCCCCGAAACTCCCTGCACACAAAATTTTATGAAAATCGTTGGAGCCGTTTCCGAGATTCCGATTATATATATATATATATATATAAAAATATACAAGAATTGCTCGTTTAAAGGTATAGGATAACTCTGGGTCTAGATGTTTGTCCTTGTGTTTGTAAACTGCCTCAAAAATAAAAATGTGTGTGTGTGTTTGTGTGTGTGTGTGTGTGTGTGTGTGTGTGTGTGTGTGCGTGTGTGCGTGTGCGCGTGCGCGCGTTCGCGTGCTAGTGCGCGTGCGCGTGCGCGTTTGGGTGATAGTGCGCGTGCGCGTGTGCGTGTCCGTGTGCGTGTGCGTGCGCGTGTGCGTGAGCGTGTGCGTGTGCGTGTGCGTGTGAGCGTGCGTGTGCGTGTGTGTGTGTGTGTGTGTGTGTGTGTGTGTGTGTTTTTTTATGTGTGTTTGTGTCTTACTCCCTTCTCTAGTAATCAAAGTTTTGAAATACTTACTTCGTGTGTCTTTGTAAGTTTCTTTAACGACATCAAGGAATGGATTACGACTGATATTTTCTTTTATATTTTCATAGTAATAGGGCTGTCGGTACACCTGCACAGTTCGTACCGATATCTGATTCTCTCTTGCAGCCGCTATTATCGCCGTCGCTAACCGGGAGAAGTCGTGGTTTTGGGCTTTTAAATAGACAACACCAATCTACAGAAATAAATAATAAGTTAAAATTTTATTTCTTTAAATAAATAGAGGTACAAACATTGCGCGATGTTTTTTTTATAGAATAAGGATTATAAACGAGCACAAAGTCCACCTGATGGTAAGTGAATGCTGCGGTCTGTAGATATCTACATCTATCCTCGATTAAGAATCAAAATGCCGATGCGCCATCCCTAATGACTAAGATGGAATGCCTCGTTTCCAGTAAAAAGGGTCTCCGGTTCTCTACACTCAACATACGAAACACAGCAGCATTGAGCTGCTATTATAGGCTGGTATTCTGTGAGAGCGTGGTCCATCCCCGGTCTAGCCGACCCATTCGTGCTACAACTATACTACTAATATAACTGCAGCATCGCTCTACCACGTAGAACGTTAACGTTAACCTGGCTGATTCAACTTTTAAGTAATTGTTAATTTCATCTACAAGGTGTTTTGGTAAAATTATCACAACATTAATAAGAGATGTTTGCGTCAGCTTAATCTTTTGTTCCTTTTCTGGTACTCGTAAAAGTACGCAGCTGGACATGACCCTCTCATGTTGCGAGAAGGAATTGGACTGAATCCCCTCCTCTTAATCTCCTCTTATGACCACCCAAATTAATTAGTTGAAGGATTCTCTCACGCCCCCACCGCACGGAAATCCAAGGCTCAATGTTGGCGATAATAAATATGTGTAAAACTCATAACTTATTTTTCTGTACCGATTTTATGCTAAATATATATAGAATATTATAAGTAAATAGTATGTAAAGTTATTACTATAATAACGAGGGCTAAACTTTTTAAATATGTTACAGCCAACATTAGCTTAATTAGCCTTTCAGTCTATGTGCTATATCATATAAATGTACGCAGCTTTAGGGTGGTCACCCTAGCCGCACCCTAAGCTACTGTCGTTAGTATTACAAGTTATGTGCAATGTTGTTCAGGCTAGTTGAACGGCGCTGTTTAGTAAAAAGGCTAGACTGAAAGGCTAATTAAGCTAGTTGGCTGCGATATATACACCATTTTATTTATTTGTTATATTATGTAATATATTATAGTTATAGTAATAATTGCATTTGAAAATATTCTAAATGTATTAAATCAATAGTAAAAGCACAGTAATATACACCATAGACAAATCTAAATAGATGCCAACTCTAATTTTGAAAGTGGTTTTCAAATGGTATAGACTCAGAATATTATTTGCCGGATCTAAACTGACGTAATGTGGAGCTGGTAGAGCTCTGTCTAGGTTGGAAGACATTTGTAACTATGATCATAGATTAACCATAAACAAACACAAATGTTATATGATCCGGTGGTAGTTACTACATCCATACGAGCTACTGTAGTTCATAGATATGTAAAGCCAACTTCAAACAAGGAACGTTATAGATTGTGTTATCACCCCTGAGGACTCCTCGCACGATTCCTCGCAGCTTGTTATTGTTCTACTGGCTATCTTTAGCCTTCAGACCGGAGCATAGGAAGTGCGTAGTCACCACACTACTGCAAAGTTAAACTCCTTCTCAGAAATGCTGTAGTTATTAGTAGTATAGTTTAAGCATGAATGGGTCGGCTCGACCGGGGGAGGACCACGCTCTTACAGAATACCAGCGTAAAGTAGTAGCTTAATGCTCCTATGTTTCGTAGTGTTTGTAGAGAACCGGAGACCCTTTTTTACTGAAAACGAGGCATTCCATCTTAGTCCTCACGGGTGACAACGCATCTGCATTTTGATTCGTTATTTGGGATATATGTTGATGTCTATGGACCGCAGCAATCACTTCCAACCATCAGATGGACTGTGTGCTCTTTTGTCACAATATCCTATAAAAAAATTAAATGAGAGAAGGTCTCAGACCAGGCTTTTAATTCACTATATATTATTATACTGATAACTTATTTTACACCTCTAGATAAATACAGACATTGATGAGCAAATCACAAATGCTTATTGCAGGACTATTTGTCCCTATTGAGCATCAAATCCATAACCCCTTTGCAAGCCTTGACAATCAAGTTATCTAAAATAATAGTGCTAGTTAATAGAACAGTATCAAAATGTTTACATGCATGAATTTGAAATGCGTGAGCACGGCGACCACGGAGCGGGATATGTCGATGTCGGAGGGACGAGTGCGTGCGAAGGTGGGGTACACGCGTTTGTTGGAGTTTGCTACGTCGCGGCAAAACTATAAGAAAACCTTTAATATTATAACATATTACTAATAAACTGTAACAAAAATTTCGGTATAAGAACTAGCTTTAAAATATTATACAAAAATATCTATAGTGTGGATATAATAAAAAGTACAACAATGTGATGATGTTAGATGTTAATGCATACGACCGTATGACTCGATATGACGTGAATTGTGTAATAATGACTCAATATGAGACTTAGGCGCCGGCCACACTGCGAACTAAGTTAATAAAACTAACTTACGTATTTTAGGAGTCATATTCGTAGATTGTTGAGCCAACTATTCCATAAAAGGCAAATAATTATATGAGTACAAAATAATGTGGGTTCACATAGAAACTAAGAAAGTACTGTTGCGGTACCAAATGACCCTCATAAAGAAAGGCAAAAGAAATAGGACGTCGTTTACAAAGGTTTGTTGTAGGATTTTCGAGTTAGATAGCCCACAGTTATCTTACTTAGTTTCTTACTAAGGTCAGTAAATTAGCTTATAGCTCACAGTGTCGCCTGCGCTTTATTCTTTTGCAATTTTATAGCCATCTCCGTTACTTTATTTTATACTTAGTATTGTCGTAATATTGCAGCTGCAATGAGAATAAACACATAGGATTTAATTAAATAAAAAGGTTTGTTAAAAACCTTTTTTATTTATATATTACATTGAAGCGAACTTTCACAGAAGGGAGTAAATTCACAATTTTATCTGCGGAATTATAATGCGCTTACAAAAACAACGTTTGTCACTTAACGCCATACTGGATGCAGCATTTAAACAACCTTATCCCTATAGACGTGTCTGGCACGATTCCATACTGTGCCTTGGACTTAGTTCAAATGTTGGAGGATCTGGCACAGAGATTCTTAGTATCAAGATAACAAATTGATAAAATCATACAAAAGCTAAACAATTGTGTATGTTATATCACGTCTTTAGCACTGCGTACTATTGGCATAATACCTACGTATATCTAACCTGTCTTTTAGTGTTTTTAAGTGATATACTTAGAAATGAGGATACTCGCAATATGACTAGCGTAACAGACCCCATTATATTATTTACCCTATTATACCCTAGACATACTAAGTGAAGTGTAGATGTATGAAGTCGGTGAATGCATGTGGCTCAGGACCACACTATGTGACATTCTGGAGAATCGAAAAATGAAAATTAAAATAAATATGAATATGTACCTAAAAATTGAGCCTATGTTCAGCAGTATATTTGTTTTTTTTTTGTTGATATTATCTTTAAAAAAGCAAATTTAAAAAAAAAGATAGAGATAATAATGAGAGAGAGAGAGAGAGAGATAATGTATGGGATTTTTATAGTAGTAGTATTAGTTGTAGGCAGTTTTATAAGTTTTGATAATAAATAACCAAATAATAGATCTTAACGCCGATTTAAACAGTTTAATGTGTTGTATACTTTTTGTATAAAATTTCGTGTAACTCGATTTATTTCCAATATAAACTGTGATGCAATAAAATGGAAACTTACGTAGCTGATCATCGGCAAGTTGAAAGCGGCGGCCATACGGCCCTCATGAACGCAAGTTTCTTGCGGTCCAATGTATGCTGACACATTGGCTGCCCAGAGCGCGGCCACCTGTTTACAATTTAAGAAACATTTAAGTGCAATTATATTTTTTTTATAAAGTTGAAGCGATAATCGACTTAGCACGTGCAGCCAAATTCAAACAAAGTAGGTTACAGATTCATTGTCACCACTGAGAATTAACATTGAATGCCTGTAATTATATAATCTCATGTTGTTTCTTTTTTTTATAGGATAGGGTGACAAACGAGCACACAGTCCACCTGATGGTAAGTGGTTGCTGCGACCCATAGACATCTACATCTATCCTCGATTACAAATCAAAATGCAGATGCGTTATCACCCGTGAGGACTAAAATGGAATGCCTCGTTTCCAGTAAAAAGGGTCTCCGGTTCTCTACACTCACCATACAAAACACAGCAGCAATAAGCTACTGTTTTATGCTGGTATTCTGTGAGAGCGTGGTCCTCCCCCGGTCGAGCCGACCCATTCGTGCTACAACTATACCACTAATATAACTGCAGCATGGCTCTAACACGTATAAAATATAATTATACTAGCTCTCTATACAAAATAATCTCTGTATAAATTTAATAAAAAATGAAAAAGATGTACGCCTTCCATTTAAAGCATATCGGCTCTACGCTTATGAACCCGCCCGCCCAGTAAGGTGTGCACGCATGGGATTTTTGTATCCAACAGTGGGAGCTGAGAACCTTGGCCTCTCCTGTTGTAGAAAGAATTAGCCAAAATCGCTGCATTCGGCAGGCAGATTGCCAATCGCATCTGTACTGCCACTGCGCTTAATTGCCGGTCTAAGTACTTTACGTCTGGCGTAAAAGAGATCGAAAGCCATGAGACCTTATATCTAATATGATGGCTATATCTTACGAATTCCACGTATCGATGGGATGGCAGAATCCACAGATCATAGAAACAACAGAATAAACAGAACAAACAACTGTTGTTTCTATGATCGGAGGTAGAATCTTACGTTGCCAAAAAACAGCATTATGTAGGCATGTAGATTAAGATGAGATGTAATAATAAAGGCAGGTTATAGCATAATCTGGCTACAAGGTGTAGTTACTTATAATGAGTATTTAAAAACTACAAATTAACATTAAAAATATTTAAATGTATATTAGTAATTATGAGTAGAATACTTGTATGACCACAACTTTCACTCTCTCTCTCTCTCTGTCTTTCTCTCTCTCTCTCTCGCTCGCGCTGAAAAAGCCTCATTAAGTGATCATAAACTATACATGTATATGTCGCCACGTCTATAAAATAATGGTTGGATCGAGAGTAAAGGTTTTACTCTAGCGAAACGTCGTATCCGTGGTAACGTGGCAATCGTTGTTATTTATAAGATTTTTGAAAAAAAAAAACATCACCAGGAAGTGTACTATATATTTGCGACTAATTGCTAACGATCCGATTATTGTATTTTCTTGTATTTTATGTTGTAACGCACGCATATGCGCCATCCATCATGAGTGCATCTGAAGAGGATCCTCTTTCGCATACACACACACACGCGTTCACATTCTGATTCACATTATGCAGAGATTTAAATACTTTAAATGTCTTTGATATTATGTCTTTTTAATTCTTCACGTGATTTTTGTATGAGTGTTGTACTAATTTTCGAATATGTCGATAGGTATTAAGATGAACATGGACAAAACAAAGATCATGTTTAATGTCCATGTCACACCTATGCCGGTAGTTGTTGGGAGCACTATGCTCGAAGTTGTTGACGAGTACGTTTACCTGGGACCATTGAGTTATACAAGACTAGAGGAGCAAATCACATTGCCGCGCGTCGAACAAAGTGTAACCACTATCCAAATGCGACGACGTAGCTTTGAAATCATTAAAATTTTTAAGTAAACATATATCTATCTCACTTACACAAGTCGCGGAAAACAATATCGTCCCTAAGATTAGATAAAGATAGACACACAAACATGCAGTGGCGGGTTGGTGTTGCATACTTTATGAAATTTTACCCAAAATGAGCAATATAAAGGAGTTTTTTTTTTAAAGTTGCAGTAAATTGTTTTTATTTTAAATTTGTATATTTTCTTATTAGATGAACAGAAGTAAGCATAAGTAATGAAATAAAATATGTTTTTATATATTATTTTTATTGTACTAATAAATCAAACAAAAAATAAAGCAAATAAAAAAAACAATTTTAGGTTTCTTAAGCGAGATCTGTGTTGAATATGCATAAGTTGTGAAATCATCACCAAGTTTTTGTCTCTTAAATTTAGTCTCATGACATTAGCTACAAAAACTTTGGTTATCAATAAATTTCGTTGATTTTCTTGTTTATAGAATTTCTAAACTACTTAACAACTTTAAAAAGTTTTTATATTTTTTTTGCAACAATACTGAGGATAGTTAATGGATTCAGGCGTTTAGATTTAGAAGGCACCCAGTCAGTCTCCTTTCTTAACAACCTTATTATTTCCACCCACTTCTTACGGCGTGCTGCATCTTTAGGTACACTGCAAATTTATTAATATAATATAAAATAATAAAATATAATTAATAGACCATTCATGAATAAACTAAAATAAGAATAATTATTTTGTATAAAGGTTGAAACATAGTTTTTATTTTTAAGCAATCAATTTTACTTGTTTATTTTAAAACAAAATTAACTTATTCCATAAATTATACAGTCTCCCATTAATGTGGAAAAATCACAAAGGCGGAAAAGTGGCAACATTGAACCTAAATTGCAATATTCGATATTTTATTTAATTTTTTTAGTGTTTTAAACGTTAATATGAATATATAAATTAAAACTTACGTATGGAAAGTGATTCCGCTTGATTTATTATGTTTTTGTGACCTTGAAACGCATTCTTTCACTACGCATTTACCCATTTTTTGTTGTGAATCGTTCGGCTTAACTCGGACGGCGTCACCTTGAACACTGAACTAACGTTCGCTGAGTATAAGGCTGTGGCCTTATGTGAAGTGACAACTCTTTGGCGCGGAAATTACTTATCTAGTGTAACATATAAATCAATGCCTGGAACAAATAGTCCGACTAGGTAAGTCCAAATTCGACCGAGAGGTCAATCGACGGATTCAACTCGGCTGGGCAGCGTTCGGGAAATTACGACACATCTTCTCGTCAGGTATACCTCAATCTCTGAAAACTAAAGTGTATAACCAGTGCGTGTTGCCAGTGATGACTTACGGATCTGAGACGTGGTCCTTCACCGCTGGCCGTATGAGGACGCTCAAGGTCGCTCAGCGAGCTATGGAGAGGGCTATGCTCGGAGTTTCACTGCGTGATAGACTCAGAAATGAGGATATCCGCAGTAAAACCAGAGTGACCGACATAGCCCAACGGATTAGTAAGCTGAAGTGGCAATGGGCCGGCCATATAGCTCGAAGAACCGATAACCGATGGGGAAGAAAGGTTCTCGAGTGGCAGCCTCGTACTGGTAGGCGTAGTGTAGGGCGACCCCCCACTAGATGGAGTGACGACCTGGTAAGACATGCAGGAAGTCGATGGATGCAGGTGGCTCAGGACCGTGCTTTGTGGCATTACTTGGGGGAGGCCTATGTTCAGCAGTGGACTTGTGAAGGGCTGTAATGATGATAATGATGAACGGATTTCGAATTCTTTTCGTTACAAAATTAGCTAATTTATTTAATAAAAAAATAAAGTGCATGCATTAGTTGTACTTCATTATATCACTTCATTATTGATCACGCATATTTCAGTATTCATGTTTTTCTTAATTTTTTTGAAAGGATCATTTGATAAGAATAGTGATCTTTTGTAGAGGAAAAATTTTAAAGAGCAATTTTTTTATCTATATACCTTCCAATTTACACCCCAACACCCCCACAAAATTTATTGTTAAGCATGTCCCACTAATATGGGTATTTATTTTATAAGTACCTACCTAGAACTTTTAGAAAGTATTTTGTTTGCAATGATTGTAAGAACTTGCGAAAATACAATCGAAAAAAGTTCATTGTCTGCTGAACTAACACCAGCTTGTATGGATAATAAATTTAATACACAAGTTAAACGCCGTTTTTGATAGGGGTAATAAAATCATGGCATATTTTGCGCTTTGTAATAACTTGTCACTTTATGTTTGTCGGTAACTATAAGAAATGATTTTACGACCAAATGTAATTTTCTTCGAGATTTTAAAATGAAATTGAAATAACATTGAGATATGTGATTAACTGCAGTATTACCTTATTTATCCATACCCTTTGTCGGTTAATTGACTATCGTGACCTCTTGGCCTTTACAACAGAAAATATTTTATCGAATTTTTATAAAGTGGTTCTGATATATGTAACAATCGATTTCATTGAATTAAATATATTAATAGTTACATTGTAACCATCCGCTCAATAAAATAAAATATAGTGTCTTACCTAGTTTGAAGAGCACCTCCCGACCTCCCTCAATTGCGTTCACTTATCCCGTCACCACTAATTCCAGCACCACTACTCCCAACACCACTACTCTTGGCAAGGCACACTATCGACGATTATACATACATCTTAGCGGTCACCCGCCGTACAGTCTAAATCACCTGAAGATGCCTTGTATAGAGGCGAAACACACTATCGACGATTATACATACATACTTAGCGGTCAGCCGCCGTAGAGTCTATATCACCTGAAGATGCCTTGTGTAGAGGCGAAACATATGTTGTATTATCGTCGACAGTGTGTCTTGCTTAGAGTAGTGGTGTTGGGAGTAGTGGTGCTGGGATTAGAGGGGACGGGATTAGTGCACGCAGTTGAGGGAGTGCGGGAGGTGCTATTTAAACTAGGTAAAACATATCATTTTATTTTATTGAGGGAATGGTTGCTAAGTAACTATTAATATAAAGATATTAATAGTAGTAGTATAATTGATTTTCGCAAAGTAACGCCTGATTCTATTAATTACGATTTCACTAAAATTTTATGTGTCTTAAAGTTAAAGTTTCAGCCTATATATTATGTCCCACTGCTGGGCACATTCCTCTCTGGCATGTTCCATGT